TGCCCCTCCCTCCACATGCCACTGGTCAAAGCAAGTCACAAGGCCAGATTCAAAGGGCTGGGAAAGAAACACCACCTCTTTATGGGAGGAAGTGCAAAAAATGTGTGGTCATCTTTAATATACCACACAAGGGGCATCATTATTCCATTCTGCTCATGGCAAAATCCAGGTTTAGACAGTTTTACTATCCTGCCAAACAGCAGCTAAGAAAGAAAAGAAGGAGCTAAGCCCAGGTCTTCCTGACCTCCAAATTCCTCTACTCCTACTATACCATAGCATCTGAAGTAGCCTTCATTTCCCCCACCCCCCGCCCTTCCATTCCCTTTCCTTCTCCTCTAGACTCTGAGAGGAGGAAGCAGAGAAAAAGGTTGAAGGTGCAGGATGATTCGTACCTGGGTTGTGTGCGACCATGTCTGGCTTGGTAACTAGTATCTACCTTAGGGAAGCAAGGCTGGCAGTAGGATACATTTTAAGTGATTATTTTCATAACTTTCTGTCTTGTTTTCTTTTCACCAAATGTCGTGGAGTTCAGGTTGCATCTCTTCGGCTTATTGGCCACATACTAGGGAGGCACTTAACCACTCTGAGCCTCTGTGTGCTCATCTGTAAAATGAGAGCAATCATTCCTGCGTCTACGAGTTGTTTTGAAGTTTGAATGAGACAATAATGTATGCAAAAACACTTTGAAAACTGTAGGACACGCTCTGGCAATGTGATGAATTATTTATGCCCAACTCAGGGTCAAAAAGGAAGTGCAGTCACGCTGACTGTGGCTCTGACAACTCCAGGTGCTTTCAAGGCTTTTCAATGAAGTGCAAGCTTCAGACAAATGGGCAATCTAATAGACTGCTCTCCGCAGCTGGCTGCATTTCCAGCCAGCACAGATATGATTATAATTAGAGTTTCAAGAGTTCTGTTTCACTTCAAAAGGATTCCATGGCACAGTCTGCAGTCTACCTGAGGTATGTGGCCAGAAGCAGATTCCTGTGGCAGGTGTTTTTATTCGAGCCCATTTGCTTTTTTTTATTATTTTAAACACTATCAGGAGTGTCTGTTCTATTATATTCATTTTTTTTTTCAGATGCCAGGTGAAAAGAGATTTTTCCATATGTAATTTTTAAGAGGGTCAGCACTGAGCAAAATGCATAGCTCTCGCTCCCCCCTCATTCCCTAAATGAACAGCAGCTTGGACAAACTCACTTTAACAGAGCCAGGCCTTTTATTAGCAGAGAATAGTCTGTAATGGGAGGAATTACTCTGCCCATGCATCTCTCCCAGGAAAAACATTCGTTAACCTGTCGAGGAAGTGAAACCTCTTATTAGAAACTGTAGAAAAGTCAATTTCTTCATTCTCGCTGCTAAAAGATTCAGAACATACCTCACTGCAGACCTTAAATTAACAGTGCAACTGGAAGAAGAGTTGAGCCCGCTGGAGTCAGGCGGAGATGGCCAAGTGCGCAGGACTCCAAATCAAAGCTGAGCCCAACCTGGGCATTCACTATTTCAAACCCTGATACCTGCTTTTCTGCAGGGTCCTTTTCATCATCATCACTCTTCCCCAGGCAAAGTGATGATAGTGGTAAAATCCACCCAGTCTTCAGAGACAGATGACTTTTTTGGCTTCTTTTTATCTATCTAATGATTTTCCAATTTTAGCCAGCAGTGCTAAAGAGCCACAACAGTTATAGGAGTCCTCGATGGGATTTCTCTGAGTTAAACTCAGAAGAAAAGCCCAGATCTGTAAGTACAAAGAAGCAGGTTGGTCTCGAGCAGCCCAATTCACTTTGTATTCATCCTTCTAAGCCATGGATTACAACAAATGCAAATATGTGCTGGAGTTGAATTTTCGGGGAAAAGAAAGAACATCCAACTTTTGCAATCACTGGGGTCACTAGGAATGGACACTCCTCAAGGACAAATTTCAGTGAAGGTTACCTTATGCCCCATGCTCACCCAATATTCCTGCTACATGGAACTATTGTGAGTTTTCAATTCCTGCATCTCACCCAGACTATTACACCATTGATTGTAAGAAACTATTATTTTAAGTACCAATGAGAAAGAAAAATTGCCACTAATTAAATTGTGGAAAATATGGAAATATATTATACCATGCTCTTTCAGACCAAGTCTTGTTTCTCTCTTAAGAACACCTTTTCTTCCACCTGCTTTGGTATCTCCAAAATCATTTTCCACCTAGCAATTGACTGATATTTACCATCTAGTTCATGTGATTTTGGGAAATATATGGTGAGCCCCCATGGATAGAGATCATATTCTATCCATCTGGGGGCCCATCAGAGCCATGTAAGGACACAACATTTATGCCCTCTTGCACCTTCCACAACGTGAGTATGCATTAAGAGGTGCCATCTATGAAGCAGAAAGCAAGACTTCACCAGACACAAAATCTCCTGGTGCCTTGATCTTGGACTTCCCAGCATCCAGAACTGTGAGCAATAAATTTCTATGATTTATAAATTACTCAGTCTAAAGTATTTTGTTAAAGCAGCAGGAATGGACTAAGACACCACCCAATCTCCACCGTATTCCTCTTTGATTGTGAGCTGCATGTCATGACCATTTGCTACAGAAGCTGATTGCCTGCCTGGCTCAAGAGAGGGCACTGGCTGCTTCACACCAAAATAAGAAGTGGAGCCCTGTCCAGAAGTGGAAACTGGAGCAGAGAGGAAGCAACATGGGTGAGACGACTGAGCTGGGAAGCAACTGCAGGTGCATCCATTAGCCCTTTGTAGGGATATCCTCAGCAACAGACAACTGAAGTGTTACTTACATGGCTCTCAAGTCAGTGCACTTCAAGCCAGTAAGCATCTCTTCTCTCCATTCTCTGAGCCAGGCACTGTGCCACACACTCAAAGTTAGAGTTGGTAACACACCATTCCTGCCCTCAAGGAACTTATGGTCTAACTCTAAACTCTTAAGAATGAAGTTCAAGAAAGACAGGTACCTTGCTGAAAGTCACACTGTTTGTAAGTGGCTGATCCAATATTTGAACCCAAGTTTTTTTCAAAGTCTCTCCAACGACCCCAGGTCTTCTTATCACATAGCAATATAATTCCCTATCATTGTTCTTCAATTGCAATTGTTAAAATTTATTTAGCTCCACCCAACTTAATGGTGATTAACAGAGACATATATGAGGGTGTAAAAGTATATTACAAACGTTGAAAATATTCCCATGCATTAAATATATTTGACATATTGAAAATAAAATTGAAATTTGTTACCTCCGGGTGAGTTGAGTGATGCTTATTATCTTTTTTATACTGTACTGTATTTTTAAATTTTTCAACAACGATATTACATTGTGTTCATATTTTTGAAGTTATTTTTTTAAATAAAACCAATTTATATGAAAATGCTTTCAGATCATAAAGTGCTAATAAATGTCAGCTACTAAACTCGTTGCAATGTAAGGACTCTCCAGTGTCATGCCTGAGGTTAACCTTGATGGCTGATGGTGACAAATGCACCAGCAAGTGGGTGCTCTTGGAGCCCCGTAAGACCACAGTTACCAAGATTTTGCTAGCTCAGATTTGGATCATCTCTTTGCTGAGACAGAGGGGACAGAACAACCAAGGCCAAAGCATCTCCAGACATTGCAGCATCTAGAAAGGTGAAAATGTCTCCTTCCTTCATTGGACAGTTCTCCTTTTATAGAAGGTTTTATTTCTTTCTGTCTAAAAATGCCCAATTGTATTGTTCACATCTGTTATCAGCCACCTTCCCTCAAGGAATCCTGGTGGAAATTTGGTTTTAATGACACTGTATATGTGAATTGGGTCCCCAGCTTCTTAAGCAGAAGGACAATAGTGACCCTACTGCCAGGCCCAGGCACCCTGGAACAACTTCATGTTGGGTGTAAACCGTCCCTCGCCTCCTTAGGCACGAGCCTCTGCTAGCAAGTGTCCGTTCTTGTTATTGCAATGAGATCTGACAATTTCCTTTCACATACTTACTGATCTTTGACCAACCACTTGTGTATAGTCGAATAAAAGTCACTTTCCTTTGGACAAAGGAGGCTTGGGCTTCCCCAGTAGTTCTTTAAATCAAGGCAAGTGCTAGAATTTTCTAGCAATGTCATCCTAGCAGCTCTGGACATTCATACTTATCATATATCAAAGTGGCAGAAGGGACATATTCCTAACTTAATGTAATGCCCTTCTACACACTTATCATGTTGGTGCATGCTTTCCAGCAGTGTGCTTTATAGCTGTGAGGTAAAATAATATTTTACAATGTGTTATGATTTCAAAGGCACACTCAGTTTCACTTTTATCTCATTTAATCATCATAGCAGCCCTATGGGAAACATTACCTACTTCACAAGGAGGAAACCAAGGCTCAGAAAGGCTTCATGGTGAGTCCAAGAATACAAGGTCAGGTTCAGGACTCAATCCCAGATCTTATGACTTTAAATGTCAGGTAATTTCCACCACTTTCCCAAAATTAAACATTTGACCCTGGGTCTCTTCGTATACAAGAGAATGCGTAGGATGGGAATGATCTTATTCACAATGAAGCAGAAAGGAGAGAAGGAGGGGAAGAGAGACGCTAATATCTATTGAGTGTCTACCTTGTGGGGGCTGTTTTCCTTGCACTGTCTCATTGAAGCATCCTCTCTTTCTCCCATGTGATTGAAAATAAATGGAAATTAAGCAAGATTAAATTACTTTCCCAAATTCACATAGCTCACCAGTGGCAAAACTGGACTGACATCTCCAGGCCTTCTGATTCCTAAACCCACAATCTTCTTGCCACATTTTATATTTTACTACAACTTACAGTGCATTTGCACACCCAGGAGATTTCAAAAGGCAAATAACAAATAAGAGTTCTCCGTTTTGGAAAGATTGATGTTCTTAATGACAGACACATACACACACACACACACACACACACACACACACTTTCTTTCCCTGGCCCCTCCAGCCCAGTTTCCCTGTGACATTGTTGACACATTCTTCTGCTCCCTGCAGGGTGTGTGCTGGTGGTATCCGTGATTGACCAGCTGGCTCAAGTTCACAACTCCACCGTGGAGGCTGCAATGGAGAGACTGTGCAGCTACCTGCCTGGTGAGTATGGAAAGGGTCATGCCGCCATGGCTCTGCTTGTCTTCCCACTCATGGGTCAGAATGACTGGGTTTATACCCTGCACATCTTTATGGAGCAGAATCAGATCGTGTTGTTTCTGTGGGTGGATATTCTTATGGGGCTCATAGATATTAAAAAGGAAAACACTCTAGGCAATTTCTTACAGACATTCATTTTCCATCGTGGCAGAATGAAATTGAATGTGGACATTTAGGGAATAAAATGTTGAACGGCCAATTGTTATTTTATATGTCACATTGATAATGATTTGCTCACTTAGTGATCATTGCTGTAAGTACTAAGAAATCAAAATAACAAATAACTTTCAATAATTTTTTGTTAACATGACCAATATATACATATTAAGATGCATACACAGACCTACCAACACAGAGTTTTAGACTAGGAAAACAACTGATCTCAAAAACCCAATGGAAAAATAATCTGGAACATTCCATTGATTTCAACTGAATCACAATAAAGGCCCGTACACATCCTGCAAAAGAAGAAACTGGTGGTTCAAACAAGTTGTATGTTTGTTTTTCAATGTTAGCAGAAAACAGTTGTTAACTCTATTTCCCTCATAGAATACTATTACTTGAACAGTCGTAATGAATAAACTTTTTTGAGAGTCAAATTTTTATTCTCTTAATGGGAACTAATTCATCAAGGATGCCTACATTATTTTTTCTGTTAAGCAAGGTAATTTGGCTAATGGTAGTTTTAACTTTGATTTAGTTAGTACATTTTGCCAATAGCACCAAAGCATTTTCAGAGTATTTACTGCATGTGGTCACAATACACATTCACAGGCTAAAATGTTTAGAATTCAAAAATAAACAGTAGGAGAGGATAATACACAAACTCTTGTGTTTATGGTGTCCCAAATTGACCACTGTTAAGATTTTTGCATACTTATATCAAAATTACATCTTTCTATTGTTAAATTAAATCATGGCAGATAAACTCGAAACTCTTTGGCTTCCCCTACATTCTGTTCCATTCTTCCCCTGCCTCCCTAGAAGGACCCACCCATGTGAACTTAATGGGTCTCCTTCTTGTCAGATTTTATAATTGCACATTCACCTGTGTGAATCCATAAACAAGGTATAGTATTGTTCTGTCAGTGATTTTTTAAAACTGTTTCTTGGTAAAAAGAAGACAAACGTAGGAAATCATGCAAAACAAATGTATAGCTTCATCAGTTATTGAAAGGTGAGCGCCTTTGTGAATATACAGAGTTTACAAGGGTAAAGAACAGATAGACCCCCTTCAGAAGTCTCCGCCATGTTCCATCCCATCCCATCCTTCCTTTCCCACAAAAGAATAATGTCCTGAATTTTATGGTAATCATTTCCTTGCCTTTCTTTACAGTTTTATCACCCATATGGGCATCCCTAGACACTGCAATCTTACTCAGCATTTAATTTTTTGATGTGTCTTTTAAGTCTATTTTAACCTACAAATTTCCTTTCCACCTTTTCCGTTTTCTTATGATATAGCTGTGGAATTGGACCTATAGAGTTCCCCCCAGTCTGGATGGCGCTGATTGCATTCCTGTAGTACAACTGAGTCTGTTTCTCTGTGCTCTCTATTGCCTGAAAATTGGCAGCTTGACCAAAGGCTTAATCAGACTCCAGTTTGAGTCCTTTGGCAAGAGTATAAGTGGCATTGTTTTCTTTCTTCAGGAGGCCACCATAAGTGGCTTCATTTTCTTTCTTTTTGTGATGTTAGCAGCTGTTGTTGTTAAATGATGAGATTTACTAATTTATTGGGGATTAAAAATTGTGATATTCTAATCTATCATTCTTATCTTTCATTTATAAATTCAGATATTAGGTACTTTCCCCTCCTCCTCATTGTATTTTAGAAACTTTTTTTTCCACAGTATCCTAGTGGCATTGTTGGGCAATGCCATAGAGGAAAGGCAGGGTAAATGCTTGATTCTTTTCCTTTTTTCATCAGTTTTCAAAATAATGCATTGGTTTTCTATTACTGTCACAAAGCAATCAATTAGTTTTCTTTAAAATATCATCATGAGCTCATGAATTTAAGCATACCTGGTGGGTTTCAGTCAATTGCAATTATTATCCTTCCGTAGCTCAAATGGTCCCATTGAGGTTCGACCAGTGGTAGCCTCCTCAGGTTGACTCCTGACTCCTTCTGACGTGAGCCTAAGCGACCTCACTAACTAGCGTGACAAGGTGTGCCAGCCCTGTCTTGTACATTTATTTTTAGCTGCAGACTTGAAATTGATCATTTCTCTTTACAGCCCTCTTTTCTTTTGGTGAGAAATAATATTTCAAGACTGCAATCTGCACGCTCATTGTCACTGAGTTGGCCATTCCTTCTAGGCCTCTCGGTGGACAGCAGTAGGAAATATATGTGTATAAATGTAGGTGAATCATTTTTAAGATAAAATATCTGAGGAGTTCATACTGATATTTCAAATTCAAATTCAGAACTACAGCTTTTTTGCCTTTAATCTCTTCTGTTTTATAACTGTATCTCCTTTTTTTCCACACGAAGTCTCTCTTTCCACACAAAGTTTTAGTTGTCAAGGATAAAGGGATTGATGGAATTAAAATATCCCATAATTTGCTCATTTATGTATCCCTCGTTGTACGTATAATAGTCCCAGAATATCAGTTCTAATACCACAATTATTAGCATATTTTATCTTTATTGAGAGTAGTTAAAATTATTTTTTGCATATGCCTTTCCACCTTTTCCACCCTTTTCATCATTGTCTTACATTGTCTGAGCATAGAGTCATTACATAAAACACTTGCTTCTTTTTTGCTCTCATTTGGTCTTAGCTCCATTAGCAACTGTGTGATTAATGTTCACCACCAGCCCTTATGTGGATGTCTCTGTAGTTGAGTTGTTGTCTAAAGTTCATTCCTCAGGTAGAGTTCATGAGACCAACATTCCCTGAATCTTTGCATGTTGATGATAGCAGGCTGTCTCCACCCGTTAGACCTGAAAGTCAATGTTTTTCTGGATTTAAAAATCCTTGGCTTACAATTTCTTTCCCTAAGCATCTTAAATATATTATTAAAAAGCCGACTGATAATCTAATTTTCTTTTTCCTTATAAGTCATTTGGTGCTTTTACCTTGAAATTCAGAGGATTTTTTTTTTTCTTTTTCCTATGAAGCTTAGTTATCTAACTAGAATATGTCTTGGTGTTAGCTGTTATATATTGATGTTCTCAGGCATGCAGTGTACTCTCTTAATGTAATTTCAAATATACATTTTCTAATTTTAGGAAAGTTTTTAGCATTTGTTCAGCTTTCTTGGTTTGGTTTTCTTCTTCTGGGATTTCTATTATTCATATTTTGAATTGTCTTTGCCTGCCTTCAATATCTTACCTATCTCTTAAATACCTTTTATCTCTTCATTTTTTTGTCTTAAGATTGTTATTCCTTTTCACTTTCTGTTTCACTTAAAACATCATCTATTGTTTATACTGTTTTTGTGTTCATTCTAGTTTAGACTTCACTTCTTCCCTGAGTTCCTTTATTCCATATCTGAGTTTTTCTAATTCTTACTTCTACTGTTCTTTCATGTCTTACACCATTTTATTAATGCCTCTTAGCTCATTTTGAAATAATATGTTTTGATCTCTTTTTTTGGCATGATTTTCTGGCATGCTTCTACTATCTGTAGGGATGTTATTCTGTTCCTTAATCTTTTTTTTTTCTTATAATAACTTTGTATGGGAGTTGACCCAGATACATTTCTGCTGCTCATTTTGATGTGAAATTAGTTTTCAAAAACTTTTAGAAAGAGAGGGGGTTCTTTCTGGCGTTTTCTGAGTCCATTCTCCCACCCACTTTTATCTAGACTTTCTCTCTACCTTATTTCTAGCCAGCTCAATTTTTATTCCCAACCCAGCAGTTTCTCCTAAGTGTGGGCCCTGTCCTGGGAGGGAGCTCCTGTGGGTATGTTTCTAGAGTTTGTGAGAACCAGACCACTCCAGCCCCTTAGTCCTTGTAACCATGAACTCCCTGCTCTCACCAGCTATTGCAGTGAGCAAAAGCCCTCCCACTTTCAGCTGCTGCTCTCTAATTGGCCCTGTCTCAATACCTGTCAGCTATTAATGGATTATCCTGTTCTCAGGTTTATCTGACATCCATCACTTTCCTCTACTTTCTCTGGTACAAAAGTTGATGACCCACAGGTCTTGTGGTTGTGAAGTGGGTTAGCCTTACCTACTTGCATGTTGGGGTTCATGGAGATACCTAGCTTTGTTGTAACTGTTATCTCTTGGGTTTTGTTTTTGCTACCCAGGTGCTTCTGTGTGTATATGTGGAGATTCAAAGAGATTCCAAATTTCCACTGCCTCCACCATCATCCTTCCATAATGCTTCTCTGTAGAGGCTTTAATTTTACACCCATGGTCTGTTGTATGCATTGCTGTGCAACTTTTGTTTTTCACTCAACATTATGTTTTTAATATCTATGCACGTTAAGATACATAGACTCAGGTCAAGCCTCTTAATTGCTCTATAGTTCTTTCCCATATAAATGTTCTATGTTTTATTTATCACCCTATTATTGAACATTCACAACCTGTTATAAACCTCACTTGATATTTTCACAGTTGTAATTTAGACGAGATGAGAGAAAATATTATTACCATTTTACAAAAGGGAAAAAAATGAAGAACAGGTACAAGTATCACTAAGCCTTGCTTTCATTGGTTGACATTTCTGTCTGGTAGACCATGCTGACAGGTATAACCATTTGTACCTTGAGTTTGATACTCTCTCTTTAGGCAAAGTTGTATTGTTAAAAGGTGAGAAAGACTTATCAAAACTCCTATTTCCTACATTATTCTCTCTTCTTAATGTGCTAGCAAAATATAAAACAACATTGCTGATCTTCGAGGTACCATCCTGGCTCCTCCTGACTTAGAACAGCAAATGTCAGAGCCTGTGGAGGCAAAACAAGAGGCTAAAAGGCAGATTCTGGTG